TTACCGCCGGAGACGGAAATCTGCGAGGTAATGTGAGGTGTGACATTTTAAGGGTCGACCTTTTCCAACCCCTTCCTTTCTTGTGAGTAGGAAGCATCGCTGCAGATGTTGGTTGTCCGAGGGAAACACCTTACTGCTGTCACATTCCTCTACAGTCGGCAGTACGACTTCGCCCTGAGTTGCTGCTTTTAGTCTTACCGTTCTCCAATCGACCTGCCTGGTATGGTAGAACCTACAGGAACATATGTTCCAGCCAATATAGCTTGGTTGGGTCATCACTATAGGCAAACCCGACCACCACGTCAAGGTAGCAGCTACGGTCGAGCATAAAGTTACATGGGTTACACCAGATTACACTACAGAGAACCAGATCGATTACATCTACATAAATAAAAGATTCAAGATGCAAGAATAAAGAAAGTAGCCAATATAGACTCAGATCACTACCTATTAGTGGCGAGGTTAAACCTGAATCGAAAGAAGAACTAGACCATTGAAAAAACAGCACTACAGATGTTTAATACAACCTTCCTTTGAAATGTTAACGAAATCAGCGAACCCAAGACAGAGCCAAACGACAAATTCCAAGGCTTACAAGCTTTACTCAAAGAGGAAACCAATATGAAGAACTGGAAAAGAATTAAAGAAGTAATAACCTCGGCCTGATAGAAGGTTCTGTTCCGCAAAAGTCATCAGTAGATAGAAGTTATCAGTTTACATTAACTCATTTGATTATGAAAAAGCGTTCGACAGATCGGGTAGGAAAATTCTGTAGATCGTCATCATTATACGGAACTGTCACCCAAAATCAGAGTCAGGAATTTCAATATAAAGGTTAGAATAGTTCTATAGTACGAAGCTGAAACACGTAATCATCATAAAAATGGTACAAGTATTTATAAACAGCTATTTGAGCAAGATAGTCTACATTTATTGGCTGGTAACTATCGGTAATAACGTACCCTGGTAACGAACAAACCAGCTGCCAGTTGAGGAGACTAGGTAAATACGCTGGATGAATAGGACATACTTTGCGGAAATCACTAACTGCATCAAGAGGTAAGCCCTAACTTTGAAATGTTGTAAGAGACGACTTAACTGTGAGGTAAAAACCTTCTATGCTAGTTTTCTACGATTTTATTTATATGTTGATTGGATATTTAATGAGTATCTTGGTTTTATTATTTTCGTATTATCCTAGTTCCGAGCTTTTATTTGAACCGTAAATTGCTGCTATAGCATTTTTCAATCATAAACTAAAACCAATTATTTGTACACCTAGTATTCCGTTTCACCCTTTCTTAATGTTGTTTTCCGTGGTAATACTGTTACTCAATTAGTATGCTGCATGATTTAGTCTTGTACATACACATGAGTGTCTGCAATATAATAACGATCTTGGACTAGTAATCATTAGTTTTTTGTTTTTCCTCTTCGGGGAAAGTTAGTATTGAGCCAACCATTAAGAATAGAATATCAGTCCCCCTCGTCCTTGCTGTGTATTGGTTGCTTAAAGTCGTCTACGCGTATTGGTCTGTGGTAGGGCATAACAGGAATCCAGAAGGCAAAAGTAAGAGAGGTAAATAAAAGAAAATATTGTCCTGGGAATCGTAGGTAGACATCAAGAACATGAATACCACTTGTCAACAACTAGAGAGGAGAGTCCAAGACAGAGCTGGTTGGAGACCTATGTTCCAGAACGGTAACAGGCCAAAGTGAATACTCATAAAATTAGATAATTTGATGGATGACATAATATCCACTCGGGAATAAAAGATTGTTAGGCTTATACAAGCATGTATCACAGGTCGATGTTGAGATTAAAACTTGATGAATCCATAAATTAAATTCTTGTGGCAAAATAATATGATAGGTCTGACCAACGTAAATAAAAAAAGTTAAGATCTGATTCAACAAACTGTTGAGTAAACACCAAGTTGAAGATTTATCGATGTGATCATCTTAACTAACTTTCTGTAGATCACAAACTAACTGAAGTGAAGGACCCTTACTCCTTTAGGATATATAATTGTGCATAACACAAACAAGCTTAAACTTGTGTTCATTTAGTTTTTATTTATTTATTTTCATTCGCTGAAAAATCCGTTACACTAAATCATGAAACGTAAGATACTTAATTTTATATTCAATGGAATTTTACGATAATATGAATTCTATAATCAAGTCAAAACTTAGTAATGACACTCACAAATAAGCCTCTGCCAGACAAGTCCTACTCACTGCCTTCTCGTGGAAGGGGTGTTGTCTACGAAAATGAGAGGACGAAAAGCAAATGTTCGGCGCTTTAACCGGGTTGGTGGACATGAAGAGTCCACCTAGGGGAGTTGAAAAACCCTGATTCTAAACCAATGGTGTACATGGGCTCCAGTATTTTGAGGGAACAAATGGCGTATGAACCAGTCGTTGGTCACCAGCTACCATGGGGCCGCATCTCCTCACGATGCTCCACTGCCTTGTGGGTCAGACCTTTAGGTCAAAGACTCCGCATGTGGCCCCCTAAGAAGACCACCTGCTTCGGTCTAGGCACCCGGGCAGTACCACAGCCCTCACACAAATCAAATGAAATTTGTGTGACGCATCTGGTGCCTTTCTTGTACCAGTATTTATGTGTTCAAATAAATAAATAAATAACTTGTTGAACGACATTTATGTAGTCAACAATTAAATTCACCTATACCCTAGTTTTGCGAAATACGTTAAGAAGTCATATAGAAATCAGTCAATAAATTTACAAGTTTGCTAGACGAAACGTTGGAATGATTTAAATTGCAATCGCTGAGATTATTTCAAACATAATTTTCACCTATAATGACTTTTCTATACGCTGCGCTCAATTTTTGTCAAACTATTCGTTCCAATATTGACGAATATTCGTATAAATATTGATTGTGATATAAACTATGAACAAACATTATTTACTTTTAACTTCCTAATTTAGTTTAAAATTTTACTAAAAAACATATCACACCATCTAAAAAAATAAGGTTAAAAGACTGAGTGTATAGTGTAACAGGATTTTTGGAGCGAAAAACTCGAAACGTAATGTACACTAACTGTATATATATCTAGAAACATACAATTTCACGAAATGCGAAATTTGTTAGCCCACTATGTTATTACTGGGGCGCTGTTTGATACGTATGTAATTCCACACGGCATGAAGTATAAAGTACATTGAAAAATATGGTTTTGGTTTCTAATTTTAAAATAAGCAATTTTAACCACACAAAAAGCAATCTTTCTGATAACTAGCTCACAATACATCTTTTCAAAAGTTGAAATCATGAGTCAATTGAAGCTAGACCACCATGATTTCAACTTGTGAAATTTCTAGGAATCTCCACAAAACCCATTCTGATAATACATCTTTTGTCAAGTGGGGTTACAGTTTACTTATGAAAATAATGACGTTTTGTCATTTTTATATTTAAGAATAGCTTACAATTACTCTAAATTGAGCGACTGGAAGATCTCATTTAATAACAGACGAGATCTATGACTTCTAGAAAGCCTGATCACTATCCCCCAAATGTCCTGGTACGGCCGAGAGTGGGGAGAGTCCGCTCTCTCTCTCGAAATACTCTTACACGGCCACGCGTACATATCCTCTGCCAGGGAAGTCCTACTCACTGCCTTCTCGTGGCGGGGGTGTTGTTTACGAAAATGAGAGGACGAAAAGCGAATGTCCGGCGCTCTAACCGGATTCAAAACCAATGGTGCACATGGGCCAATTGTTGGTCACCGGCTTCCATGAGACTGCATCTCCTTACGATGCTCCACTGCCTTGTGGATCAGACCTTCAGGTCGAAGGCTCGGGGTGTGGCCCCCTAAGAAAACCACCTGCTTCGGTTTGGGCACTCGGGCAGTATCACAGCCCTCACACATGTCGAATGAGATTTGTGTGGCGCATATGTATTTGGTGCCTCTTTGTACCATTATCTATGTGTTGAAATAAATAAATAATTAATAATTAATAACCTAACCCCAACGAGATCAAAGAGAGAACGTGGGAATTCAGAAAAAGCTTGACATTCCATCCAAGAAATCGAAATTGTGGCAGACGGAAGGCGAAAGCGATTGACCAGATAAGAGGTTAGTGGGGTGGAAGGGATTAGAAATTTACAAAGAACATCCATGTTTGTTAGAACTACAACTCATTAAGATCGAGGTAATTTAAAGCCTTCCTAACAGCATTTGACTTTCTGGTAAGTCAAGAAAAGGCGTGTTCATATTTGCTTTGACTAGACGTGACATTTTACGACGTTGGCTTTATTCCCAATGAGATATTTTATCTACCGCAATGTTAATCTTATATTAGACAATGTGACATTATTTCAGGTCAACATGTTCTGTATCGATCAAGTGTCAATTCCATCCAATATAACAATTGCGGACTTTTGTTCAGTGTGACAACTATATGCTTGTATTATTCTTTATGAACTTCGTATATGTTTTACAGTAACCCTGTCTCTTTTTATTTATATGGTTACAAACATCATCATGGATGTACAAAATCAGTTTATAAGTGAGCGTATTTGTCTGAACGAAGTGTTTTGGAGAGTTAATAAATTTTCATTTTCACCAGTCTTTGGTGTTCTTAATCTGCATTATGAGAATCACAGTGGTTCTTGATCACCATGTTTAAGCAGTTGGACCGCAGACACAAAGAAGGCGACACAAGCATAACAGTGACAACAGGGTTAATTTATAAGTTTTACTAGTTAGACAGTGCCATTATATTGATTACAGTAGATAGATAAAGGAACTCGTGTATGACTAGTGTTATAAATAAAGTCAAATTGTGGAAAAATCTATTACGTTGCTGTATAGCTCGAATAACATTCTTCTTTTCTAAACGAATAGAAGAGTTTTTGGTTTACTCAGAGATAGAGAAGTTAAGACGAAATTTCAAGGAAACATAAAGGTTCAAAATATGTAATAAACAGTATGTGTAGTAAATAATTGAAATTATATCTTACTCTATGATCAAAGGTTATTCCAAATTCACGCTCCAACCGAGTTAGTAAAGCTGCCTTGCAACTAGAATACAACATTCGGCTTTTTACTGGGCTTTGATTGCCAGAAATTGTATGAATAAAAACTGAAACAGAAAGGAGAACACAAAGTTTCCTGAGAATAAAATTCATTATCGACAACTGCAAAACTTTGCAACAGATAAGTCAATACATCCAAATAATAGCATCGTACACTAATTCTACCTGGATCTCAACGGTACTGACCAAATTATCACGCTGAAACTGATTAGGACGCAATTATTGCCACTTATCAATTAAAAATAGGTTGTTGACAATCACAGTCGCCCCCAAATGCCCTGGTATTGCCGAGAGTGCAAAGTACATCTACAAGATTGGCAGGATCCTAATCCTGTACTCACCCTCGATGGTGAGCAGATAGAAGTAGTCGAGAAGTTCGTGTATCTAGGTAACTGCATAAGTGCATGTGGTGGCATGAGTGATGAGATCAATACACGTATAGTGAAAGCCAGAGCGGCTGATGCCAATCTGGGCCATCTTTGGCGCCTTCGTGATGTTAGTCTGACTGATAAAGATCGGATCTACAACGCATCGGTGAGAGCAGTTTTGCTTTATGCTTATGAAACCTGGCCTCTCCGAGTTCAGGATGTAAGAAGACTCTCTGTGTTTGATCATCGTTGTCTCTGAAGGATTGCTGACATCCAGTGGCAACACCGTGTCAGTAATGCAGAGGTTCGGCATCGTGTGTTCGGGCACAAAGACGATAATCTAATTGGTTTCACCATCATGAAACACCGACTTTGGTGGCTTGGACATGTTCTACGAGTGTCGTCCCAGATAATTCTACGTCGTGGATTATTTGTCGACTATGCGACTGGCTGGAAAAAGCGGAGAGGTGATCTATATATGACACGACTCCCTGGCTGGGGTCCGAGAGATGGTGCAACACAGTAGCTAGAGACGTTATCAGATATGGCTAAGAATAGGAGCCAGTGGCGATCCTTCTGTAACCTTCTTTTACTTTCTTCATAAAAAGTGGTTGCTTCTTCCCTAACTGAAAGATTTCTTCTGGTTGTACCTTTCCGTTTCCCCCATTATTATTATTATTACACTACCTTACACTAATCTCTTCGTTATTGTTCTTCTTTTTTTCGTTTTACGCTCCTTGCCTTCTTTTTTTCTCTTCCCGTTTTCATTGTTTTGTGTGGCGCATATATATTTGATGTCCTATTGTACCAATATTTATGTGTTCAAATAAATAAATGACAATCACAGTCGGACCTCCTGTGAGCTTAGTTCAAGTTATTCTTACGCAGTGACAACTGCTAATTAAAATATATGTTAATGGCGGGTGAAGACTTGCGTATGATGAAGTCAAAGTGGAATTTTTCGATACATTCAAACAAACTGAAATGACTGTTCACTAAGATATTTTGTCCAGATGTGCTTACTTGCCTCATATACTGATATAAATAATAACATGACATCATTTAAATCTGTAGATTCATGTCTGACTGTATTTCAGACAGAATCTCCAAAGTTTAAAGTTCAGATACTTCAGCTAACACTATTTTCGGTATTTACTTATCAGCCCCATCAAACACGTAACTTAAAAAAGATCAAAACAAGTACGTTTGATCGATAATACAATGGTGTTACTTTGTGACATTTCGACTTCTAGAAAAAGAATACTGATTTAAGAACAGGTTTTAGTCAGAAAACTTGAAAATATGAGAAACGGTAATGGATATTCAGGAGACCAGTACCATGGATGCTCCATTAGATAAGAGCGGATAGAGTACTTTGGAATACTTCAACAAAAGCAAAGTTAATGAAAATTTTCTAAAGGAGTTCCAAAAAAGTACTTACTGAAATGCATGTTAAACTTACAGGTAGCAGAATGTTCCTCGCCTTCAAACATATAACGGAAACGGAAAAGATGATAACGACCTTCTTTTTCTGGACAAATTTCAGCTATTTGTTTTGGCGTAATATGTTCACGAGTCCCGCAAACTTTGATAGTTTCACTAAGGATATCACATTTCTGGCAAAAATTACAAACAATAGATTACGCAACAAAATACCAAGTCGTCGAACTACTTTTTACAGAGATTCAAAGCTACTACCATTATTACAGCTCTCCAACACTTAAGTTCGTTTACGTTTAATTTTATCAACACTTTCAACTAATTTAACAGAATTATTCGAATAGCAACCAACCAAATACAAACTATTCTACTTTTTATGGAAGTATAATTACTTGAATATTCATTTGAAGTATTTCTTATCCGCTAATTACAATAGAAGTCATCAGAATGTACTACCTACACGTCGTGAATTGAGAGATAATACAACAAAAACGCCACATCACTAATTATACCGAAGTACACTTCTATTAAAATGACATATCACCATAGTTATTAGCACGTCTTAAAATCAGCAACTAAACAAAATGAATTTAATAAACAATTTAGCAGAGAAAATATAGGGTTTTGTAGTTTTATTTATGGCATACACTAATTGATAGATGTTGAACACCGAGTCCATTCTACCTGTTGAGAACCAACGAATGGGTTTTTAATTCAAATCCTAATACGGAATACCTCAGTTCAAATAGAGATGTCCGTGTGATGTGTTATGACGCATTACATGTCAAGTAGGTAACATGGGCATACACGAAACGACTTGTGTGACTTTGATTGTTCCTGTTTTCCCAAGTACCACTCTTCAAATAACGTTTTTCATCACAGAGTACAAGTAATGCATGCCACAGGTTAAGTATGTAATAATTTCGTTTTAGTGTTTAAAATCTCAACTAGAATGTAGAAGATCAATTTTAACTGTCTTAACACGTTTTACACATTGACCAAACTTACTAACTGAACGTAATCACACTCTCCCGAACTAAAATTCTTTAACACAGAGCGAGAATCAGGACTAAGTGCGAATGAAACACCACCGATTGTTTGATAGCTGGAATGCAGTCCAGTGGTCACCTTGAGGTATATGAATGAAATCTTAACATACTTCTTCTGTGTGGATGCCAGCCACCTCAATTTCAGCTTCAGTATAAGGTCCAGGTGCAGTTTTACTTTCCATTATTTTTTTATAGGTCCTTAAGTTCATTTCACCCTAAATATGTAAGCAAGAATCACAGGACCTACCACACAATTTATTGTTATATCATCCTTAATTAGGTTATATCCAAACTGCTTAAGAACAGTTGCTTTAGTGGCTGCATATATCGTTTTTAGACGCACCTAACGAATAGTTGAAGTGATATTAATACATTAATTTAACCAAGACCTACGTCAGAACTTTCAGGAACATAACATATAAAAATCCAGTCGCTTCCAAAAGAATTGACGGAATCCAGACGATAAAATACATAACACGGAGAGCTGGCATCTATAAGCTTCCCCATCACAACATCAAAATCATCTTCCCAAGAACCTTTAGATGGTATTTTCATAAGTAAAACTATTTTTTCTTTATCTATGATGAGCTTCATGGCTCTATACGAAAGGCTTTTACAATCTGCTAGTTTAGATGTTTCATATGGGTCAGCTAAAAATAAATAAACCAACTAACAAAGTATTATTACCGTGAATCCCACTTTGGAGAGTCATTTGTACTGCCGCCTTCGAAATAAACAGCCGAACAGAATTCAAACATCAAACATTGTTGGAGAAACAGTGAATTATTCATTCTGTTGGTACTGTGGCTACTTTTTCATAGGACGTTTTTAGTCATGTCCAGGTTTGATTTCTGCCACTGTGCTTCAGAAATCTGCTAAAATGGGCTAAATCTCAGTGGAAAAGTTTGAACACTATATTTCGGCTATCTCAAAGGCATGAACTATGGAAAGTATGGATTTTGGTCCAGAAATATTCTAATAAAGACCTTTGACAGATGTCTTCGCACCTCGTTCCTACCCATCTCACAAGAAGTGGTCACACTTCACTTAATCTCTAAAGTATATGCCTTCGGTAAAAACATTTATTATAACCAATCGTACGCGTGATTGTTTAACTGTACTAAAGATATCCATTATTCTTCAATTGCTCGCTTCCTTTGATTATGACCTTGTACGCTCTTACGTTCGCCCATTGATTCCACTCTTATTTCTTTGGCACGATCCCGATAATCTTTCGATACCAAGAGATCGACGACGAATATATCTCGTTACAACCTACGTCCACCCTCTGATTTCTGGTACGCAACACCCTTGAAATGGTGTTCATAATCAAACGCAACTCGACGCCACACTGCAAAGTCAAAAATCTCTTTATACCATAATAAGACCATTCTAGGCTGTCAGACTAGCCCATGTGGATCTGTGAGAAAGTTATAGAATTGCCAGGGAGTATGAGCCATCTTTGAAAAATATTCTCCCAAACTAGACATGATGTATTAATGCTCAAGTACAGAGTTATATGCACAACTGCCACCGCACTGCAACAAACCTATGATTTATTTAGTGCCAATTCATTCTAACGCTTGGTTTGGTTTCACTGTTATTGTATGGAAGCAAATTCGTAGTTAGAGACTTTTTGTCTATATCTGTTGTTAGGAAGTTTGAAGATTCAGTCGAAACACGAGTAACGCGCGTTCGAACTGTGAACTTTAGTCCGGTTAGTAGGACTCCTCAACAGAGTGTTCACTGGATGGGTCATTAGATTTTTACGACAGGGAATAATCGTAAACGTTTGACTTCCAACGATCTTTAAATGTCCCTCATGGTAAAACGCATGTAAATAATCCAACTAGATCGATAAGAATGATTGGTACCGGTAGTTACAAGTTGTGACGGGGGCATATCACCTAATGGTTCCCTTTGGAAAAGCATCTGCATTCCTTGACTGGCCGACAAAAATAAACAGTTTATTATCTCACGTCTTAAAATAATATGTAGTTATGACATCGAGGGACTCGAAACTATGTCACGAACTTCGTTGTCATCTAAAGAAGAGAGAAATTTCGGTTGAAAAACACGTCGCTCCGGGTCCCACAGCCTGATGGGGAATTACTAACTCGTTCAGTGTTTGACCATTTTTGTATGATCAATGAACACCACTGCTCAATCAATATCCAGAGATAGTCTCTAAATGTCCCATACTTTGTTAGCTTGTCTTAGCATCATTTAACATCTTTCCACAGATTATCGTACACGATTTATTTTCGATGCTCTATACTTGAAATCAGAGCTAGTAAGAGAATGGAAGGTAAGAAAAATCGAGACATGAATAACTCAGAGGATGTCATGGACAGGCCACCAAACACCACGCTGGTGGGGAACTGCTTTCCCATGCTCTGTCTGGCTACCAGGTGTTTACTAGTCGGTCTGATCAGTCGTCCTAAGGTCAAAAACGAAGAAATATCTATTTCGGAAAAAGAAGCAAATAAATTCAGTCTAACCCGAATAAATTTACACTGTATGTATAGAATAATCAGATACAAAAAGTGAATGTTCAGTTACACATAAATGTTTGGTCACGCAATACATCTTTAGCATGAGTGCGCATTAAAATGTGACGTCTTCAGAAAATATCAACGTGAACCTATCAGAAGTTGTGTTCATCCCTCAACTCGATTAAACACATGATGTCGAGTCTATGAAAACCTCGTTTTATGACCTTACCGCTTATCAGGAGTGATCAAGACATAAAAGTTTTAAAAAATACTCAGAGCTGAATCCTATATTCGAATAGGCTTTTTAAAGTTCGTGCTATGATAGCCAACCATTCGGTTGGCTTGATGTTGACATGTCTACCATAATGAAGTCATATTTCCTAAAGTCACTTGAGAACCGGGTTGTTTTTCACCTTACAAGTGTACATATTCTATTAGTCACAAGTATTGCCAATAATAAATTAGTGTAGGAAAATATTACAGTTAGGCCTACTACGACTGGATGAGGTTTATCTGTCAAGTACTAATCTAGCGTTCAGAATGACAATGATACGAATGCGTGTGTGTGCAGTGTTGTTGTTCACGAAACCTGCACTCATATAAGATGTTCGCTGAATCCAGGTTGCTCATATATGAGAAAAAGTTACAAAGATACGTTCAGTCAGAATAAGTGGTAGGTTCTCAAACTTAGGTGCCTTCTGCAGTTCATATCCACTATTGACTATTTTTGTGGTTATCGAAATATGAGTTCGTATGAGCGAAATAACTGCCTTAGATTTTTGTAATTTATAGTGTAAATATTGTAAGCATAAATCGTAACTTTAATGAGCACTAATATTATCAAACATAACATAAAAAATTTAGCTGTGCAGTAAATATATCGGTTGCACACCGCAGTAGTTTTGCCTTAGATTCTGAATGCTTTTAATGTTTCAGAATACATTTACGTTTATCGATTCAAAAATGTTAGCAAGAAAAATGAATGTTTTGAAAAAGGTGGTGTGACGAACCGAATAGCAATATTCGGTTTGCATTCAGAACTAACGAACCAAAGTTTATTCGAGCAAGCCAAACCACGTTCTCCTGTATGGCGTTCGAAGCATTTTTGAGTGACTTGTATCAACATAATTCAAAACACAAACGCTGCGTCCGGTTTAGACAATTATAGTTTACGAGCGAGGACAAATCATATCAAATACCCCGAAAAGTACAACCTGTGATTTATAGTCAAGGGTTTCTCTAACGCAAAATTAAGTACTAAACAAAAAGGGAATAGCTAATAAATAATAATTCGATTCCCGAGAATGAATAAGAACATTCTTAACACGATGGGTTCCGATATTCATCTTCAGGGATTCCAGCAAACTTTCCAAGCAGACAATAAAAAATTAACAGCAATACAATGAGCAACGCCGTGACTTTTATTTTAGCCAGACATGACTTTATTGTCAATAGTTCGGGAAGATGCGACAGTAAATTAAGTAATGAAAGGTAAATCTTTGACCGAGACCAGATCAGCAAAACCTCAACACGAAAGAGTCAAGAACATTATGTGCGGTTAAAACGAGACGTAAATGAAGGTTAAGATACAAGACAGGGAGATGGAACAAATGAATGACAACAGTGTTTGATGAAATGCTGTGAAAGCATTTTCAGCGTTTTCTTTCCGTAACAGTAAGTGGGTTTAAGTTGCCTCCTTAAATTACGAATCATGTTCCAGAAATACTTGTTAGCGTAACGCATGGTATTTATGACAGTGGAAATGAGAACCAATATTAAGTGTTGACTTGTTGTTTAATCTAAAATGCTTCATCTAAAAACAACATACATTTGTACAATAGTATGTTGTCTTGTTATACAACTGTGTATATCTCATTAAAAAATGAGCTTTGGAGTGATGCTCCCATGATATTATATATGATTAGTCTAAATGAATTAAAACGGTGCGCAAAAAGAATAGATCATCTAGTAAACTATTGGAAGTAGCATGATTTGCCTTTAAAGTTAGTCTATGGTGACATATATTCAGTGATTTTTGTAACAACAAAATAAAAATTACATTTTTTCTCTAATTTGTCACACTTAATTTGTAACCACATTTTCATTCAATACCTGTTGTTTTGCTGTATCACTTGTTAAAAAGACGATAATTGTTAGGATGAATGGTATGCGATACTACTACCACGTTGGTTAAAATATAAAACACTATCTACGCGGCAAACTATGCGTGTTAGGTCACGGTTACAAAGCAACAACAGAGCCAAAGTGTACACTACAAAACACAGAACGCCAAATTAATGGTTTTGGTATTTATTTCGTGCTTTTTTATGTAACATAAGATGACTTATATATGAAAAAACTTGGTACTCATGCGATCCAACCAACCCACGGCAATTGAAATACGAAATGACCGCCTCTAGTCAAGCCGTTGAAACGAAAGAGCGGGCACATTTCGAAAGAACCTAACGTTTTATTGGCCACCGTTTCGATTGAAGATTATAATAGTATTATAACATCGTTATAGACCTTCCGACTCTACGTTGGACTTTTTGGCGCGGATTACTATTATATAATACTATTGGATTCGGTCTTCCTCATTACGTCATTGGCGCAGTCACTTGCAGAGGAACACCTGATAATCAAGTGAACTCAGTTTGTGGTTGTTGTTCTCACGAAGCAGCTCACAAGTAACATTCATTCTATAGTACCTGTTATTGTCTGCTTGTTTAATATACCTTTTGTATTTCTAACTGTATTTTGTTACCTTTGATTTTTACTGACAGACATCTAAGCTTTTTACTATTAATTTTTTTGGTATATCATTATTAACCTAAAGTATCAATATAGTTTGTATAAGCTTCTTTTGTTTGGTAACCACTACAAGTCGTTGTTACAAGAATTCACCGTTTGGGTTTATAGTAAATACAGACAAATATTTTGGTACATTTTACTCAATTTTATCACGGTTTTCTCAGATTAGCCGAAAAATCCGGAAAGATTGCTAGTTCCACACGCTTTGCCTGCCAAATATTTTGGAGACTGATAATTATTACCCATAAAGGAATATAAAATAAGAAATTAAATTACTTACAATGATTGGTGCGCAATCAGATTTTCCTTTATGAAAAGCAATATGCTGTTTTAATTCATTCAGAGCTCCCAAATGCCATGGTACGGCCGAGGGTGGGGAGAGTCCGCTCTATCTCTCGAAATACTCACACACGGACATGTGCATAGTCTCTGCCAGGGAAGTCCTACGAAACTGAGAGGACGAAAAGCGAATGTCCGGCACTTTAACCATGTTGACGATTACGGATGATCCACTTAGGGGAGTTGGAAAACCCTGATCTCAAACCAATAGTACACATGGGCTCCAGGATCTTGAAGGAACAAATGACATATGAACCTATTGTTGGTCACTGGCTACCATGGGATGGCATGTCCTAACGTTGCTCCACTGCCTTGTGGATCAATCCTTTAGGTCAAAGGCTCCGGATGTGGCACCCTAAAAAACCACCTGGGTACCCAGGCAGTATCACAACCCACATACAAATCAGGTGACTTGTGTGGCACATATATATTCGGTATCCTTTTGTAGCAATATTTACGTGTTCAAATAAATAAATTCGGAAATATAAATATACATAATACTAAGCTGTTAAAGTCAGTATTTTAAGAAAACAAACAAATATTTTAGACAAAATTATGTTGACGAAGATTTAAATGCACCATAATTATGTAAGAAGGGGAATTCTTTAAATAGGATTGTCATGACGATAAAAGTAAAGACTGAATTGTAGAACTAAAAGAAATGGAAAAAGAGAACTGAGATAGAAAAGACGTAAGTAAAGAAAGTTGACGAAACAGTATGGAATAATATGAAATATTTTCATGGTACTTTAACAAACACGTTGAAAAAGTAATTCTACAAGAAAAGTAAACAAATCCCTAGGATCAAAAGAAAAGTGATCAAGGTACATAAACTTCTGAATGTTATTCATAATCTCTGATTTAGTTTGTTCTTCGTACAAATAATACTTCTCTGGTAATTTGATCGCACCATAGAGATTGCGAACAGTCTGTTGCGACTTAAGATCGGGTTTACCATAATTTGTCTACAGTTAGAAACATGTATATAAAATGATTAAATACACAATTTTGACAGTCAGTAAAACAAAATAAATTCAATTCTGCCAAGTAAATTTAACAAAAAAAATAAAATAATGGTCTAAGCAATGATAAACGTACGCTTATCTGCCGCAGCACACAACACCAACATTTCATTTATTATTTGACAATACTACTTGTATACGTCAAAACCCAAGCATTTGACTAAATCTTGACAACTGAATAACTGGTGGCATATATTATGAATCGATGATATGTGTTATACTGCCCAATCAAAATTCCGATTACAGATTAGTACACCCATATTCCCAATAGGACCGGCGACTTAATAATTACCAAGACACACTGATTAATGAACAACACCCAAGACCTCAATGTTTATTGACCGTCGAGGTCCCTCCGACCTAGTAGCCAATTAGGAGACGCGTATAGGAAGTAGATTTATTATCTATTGTGATCAATTCAATTATCACTCAAAACTCACTCAATAATATACTTGAAATGCCTGACCATATAGCACAAAAAATAAGAGATTATATTTTAAGCACAATCATGCCGTAAGTGGCAGAGAGCAAGATTAATAATGCATAATTAATTGATAATAATTGAGAAACGGGAGGATTCAAAATAATAGTTACTAGGTCTACTGGGAGCTCACAATAAGGGGAATATACAAATGCAACAATAAAAATATAAGTAATGATTGGAAAACTGGTTCCAACATTTACAACTTTTCCAATATTCGTACCAGTATAAAAGTATACGAATACCAAGATGAACGGAGTGATGATTAGATTCTTATCATTTTCATTCAAAAATTAGTGATGGGTAGTTGTTTTTTGTTCATGTACAGGCATTAACATCATGAAAGACTGAAAACATACAATCCGGGTATTCAATGACATAAGGTGATTAGTTAAATTAGAAGTATATTGGTTCATGAATATTGACGAAGAACATAGGAATGGAATAAAATATGGTAAATTTACAATATTCAATAACAGACCACATAGCATAAAAAGATTCTCGATTACAATTCTTTAAATTTACTAAAGGACTTCATTTGAATGTTTGAAGAAAGTAGTTCTATCTACACATTAAAAGTACTCAAACTAGGGTATGACAAAACGAAGATTCCGTGTGACCTGTGCGGGAATAACTAAGAAATTGAAGTATTTAAGAACTTAAAAAGCTACAACAAAATACAACCTGACATATGAATCACAGGAAAGACCAAAATTTCGAAAATGGCTTAAATAAGGTTACTTGACAAAGATGGTTACCGTAAAATTTGAATTAAAACTTGCAAGTGGTACACAACAATTTTGGATGGACTAAGTGTAGGTAGGTAGTATAATTTCATATGATTTTGACAAAGCATCAGCCAGTTCAGAAGTAAATTTTAAAAAAAAACTAATAAACTGCTACCCATCAAAGTAGGAACGAATAAGAGAAAGTTGGAGCAAAACTAGATACTGGCCAAATATCATATACTCATAGAATATGTCTTGGGAATTGCAGTCGCAATCTCATTATGCATATATCGATGTCAAAAAATTATGAATATTTTAGGATGTACGTAAGTGTTTTGTACTGACATGGACCACTACGCAAAATAATGATCACTGTAGTTATCGATAGATCATAGGGATTTGCTTTTAGAAACGGGTGGAAGGAATATGGACAACAGACAGACGCAAACACAGCTAGGAAATAAATTGTCATAAATTCACAAGGAAAGACCAGTTTGGTGCGTCAAAGTGAACCATATTCAAATATAATGTGAGGGCACATCTCGCGTTCTGACAAGGCGACCGTAAACAAAGTTATGAAGAAACCAGTGGATGTTCAATGACTTGGTAATAAACGTGAATACTTCCAGTACTAATTAACGTTAATAATGAATAGAGACATCGTATTCTTTTACTTAACCTCAAGTTTCCCAAGTTTACTATACTCATCGAGAAGATTTATTAAATATGCACCTACTGCGTATAAACATAACACTGAAAACAGGAAGACAGAACACAGAAAATATCAATAATCCTATTATGGGCACAAAGTGGTGATACGGTGGAAAAACGATAAATGTAAAATTATGGTAAGTAGTAATCTATTAGTAATTATTGGAAGTCTATTCATACTCAATAACAACTTCCCATTAGGGATTTGTAAAGTGACACCTTCAAGCTTGAATGAAAGCAAACCATTTGTCATCGTCATTTATCTTTACAAGCGTACTTCTACATGTTAACTGATTAACCAGACGTTCACCATTTTTCTTTTGGATAGGTGTTATGGTAGATTGAATGCATTCAAAAGTAAATTTTGTAAAAGCTATATTAACTTAATAATCAGCAGCTCAATTCTATAGTTGACTTGATAAATATATTATAAAATAACAATAGTCACAAGGTGCTTGGGATATCTTATTCAATATTTATAACCGACTTTATATTGTTACACAGTCGGGTGTCTTATACTTTGATGATTAATACCCCGTGATAAAACGTAGCTGAAGGTGTATAACTAACATATATGAAGTAATCCACAATAAGAAACATATCTACGATCATACAATAAAAAAGAGATAATGATGGGATGTAACAATCCAAAAAATACAAACTCAATTTATTTCGACGATAAGATAATTTTAAAATGAAAGAAAATCCCTCTTACTTTAAGTATTTTATATTGTTCAGGTGAAAGGTGTTTTAACGCTTCAACAATTAGCCATGTGCATTTGCCTTCTGCTATATCAGTCCCAACTTTTCCAGTAATTTCACTGTCACCAAAACAATCTAAATAGTCATCCTATTGTGAAATGACTTTAAAGTATTTTTGTTACCTGGGCTTGAAAGTAGTTACCCAATTTAAGGAGGATGTATTGAACATTTTTGAAAATATCATCTGTATCATCAACTTCAGCCTATTTTTAAGAAAAAAATTTCAAAGAAAACTGTATATTAAACAGAATGCTATTACTTCTTTGATGTTAACAAACAAGATGAAAGACAAGAAGTATAACCACCGTTTTTAATCGGTTTATTCAACTTAAATAATAAATGAAAATATATAAGATTTTGAAGGCAGCATTTATGAGATAATACTGAAATCCTTTCTTCTGTTGAGAAGAATGAGGATCTCAGCTGTTCAGTATGTAGGTAATCTACTATGAAGGTTCTAATAGGTTATGGGACTTGTTAATAGCAGTAATATAATGACCATTTATGATATGGGATCACGGGTCCTTATATGCTAATAACGTAAAAAGGTGTAGTTCGGTGGTTAAAGCTTCTGACTCTCAGCCGCTAGATTGCAGGTTTGAACGCCACTCTATTTCAGTTCGAGCAGCTAGGTAGCTTTACTAGTCTTCAGACGTAGAATGGGACTCGGAACGAAGGACAAAAACCTGTGGCTGGTAAGTTGAGTTGAATAAATGGGAAATTTAAGTGATATGGCTTAAAATCAATTATATTGGCTTAAGTGCATTCAGTTTTCATATGTATGAAGGCTAGATAACATTGGTGATTACAATGACTTTGTTAGAACTAAAACAAATTTTAAAAACTTTGATCTTTACATAAAGTATATTACGCAAATGTTTTTATTACGAAAGTTATTCAGTCTCACAATTGATGCACGAAGTAAAAATGTACATTTTGCAGTTTAAAATCCTTAATAAATAAGAGAAGATAAAAAATGAAACGGAAATAATTAAGTTAACTTACCAAAATCATTCCACACGCTACAGGTAAATAAAAAGTATAAAAACCCGTCTTCCAGTGTGTTATAGCTTCAAATACATCTGGTGAGTAGTTTCGAGCAAAACTATCAAACTCCAAATTATTCTGTTTTCCGTTCAAAATACATTGATTATTAGGATTTGCCGATAGTACATCCAAGCATTGGCCAGAACACGTTTTGTAACTAACTTCATCAAACATTTTGCATAATTTGAGATATACGTTATTTTTGTCCTTCCATGAATATGAATCAACATTACTTTGATTTTCAGCAAATAAAGAGTGGATCAAGTATTTCGATGATAAAATCAGATGTAAACCATCATTAACTCCAATTAACCCACGGTTTAAATCTACCTGAGTACAATGCCAACACGGTTGGCCCCGTCTAAGTGTAGAGTTGTCAATTATATCATCCAACACAAGGAATCCTGCGTGTAACTAGGGCACAGACAAAACAAGAAACTTTAAGTCATTGGATAGAAAACAGTCAATTATAACGCGATTATAGACTCACGTAAAACATACTACTGCTTAGAAATGGGGTACACTGACCAGCGTCTTGTCAACTTCTGAGAATGGTTGTTAGTATGCATACGTTTCCATTTTAATAGCTACATATAGGGCTTTCGGACATCTATCATCTTCATTATTAACTTATGACCCATAGTCTGATTTCGATAGTTGTCATTAAGTAAATAACCAATCTGCGAAACGACGACTTATCTTATGAAGAAATAAGTACTATTGAGGCTGCAGAGTACCATATTTGTTTCCGCAGAAGTCAAAACTTCTTAATCTGGTTTGTATGGCTCTTTTTCAGTGACATGCTGTACCAGAAAGTATTTATGATATGAATAGAAATAAATTCTAATTTAAATGGATCACCTGAAACTAATCAACCTCCAACTTGAGAACGAAATCAGAGTTAAAAGGCTGATAATACTAGGATAACATCACGGTGGTTGAGAGCCTCAGTCACTGGAATATACCTTACTAGTCCAAAAATCAATAATCTTACCAATGAATTTAAAAGCATTGAGTTCAATCTTGTGGGGAAACGTACATAATACGTAACTCTATTGGTACGTAGATTAACAATATGATCGTGATTTTCACGGATGTTTTTGACTAATATCAGGATATAGGGGCAATTAAATTCAAAAAAGTCAATTGAGGAAACTAAAATATTTACCAATTCGACACACCAACCAATAAGATATGCACACGACAAGTTTTTCCTAGAGTTTTCATTTTTATTGCTGAACACCATATACGAAAGAACAACTAACACTCCTCGAATTCGTTTGCCACTAGATAAATTATACGAAGTTACCTGAAAAACATGAGATTAAGACAAGGATGATGTCATAAGATGATTAGAAACAAGAGCGGTATTGAGATTAAATTGCTTTCTGGGAAAAAATATTGATTTGAAATATATTACGTCTAGAATGTTACCTATAAGAAATCATGTATGACTTGTTGGTAGGATTGTTTATTTATTTATTTGAACACATAAATATTGGTACAAGAGAGCGCCAATATATATGCGCCACACAAAACAATGAAAATTCGAAGAGAGATAGAAAAAAAACTAAGGAGCACAAAAGAAAAAGAGAACGATAACGAAGAGATTGGTGTAAGGTAGTGTGGTAGTAACGAGGGAACGGAAAGGTACAATCAGAAGAAATCTTTCAAGTAAGGGAGACAACCACTTTTTATGAAGAAAGTAAAAGGTTACAGCAGGATCGCCACTGGCTTCTATTCTGAGCCATATCTGATAACGTCTCTAGCGACTGCGTTGCACAATCTCTCGGACCCCAACCAGGGAGTCGCGAAGGGCCGACAGAAGCCAGTCCTTTGCAGCTTTCTTTCATACCACGACACCATATCATGCACTGACCACCTCTCCGCTTTTTCCAACCAGTCCCAGAGTCGGCAAATAATGCACGACGTGGAATTCTCTGGGACGACATTCGTAGAACATGTCCAAGCCACCGAAGTCGGTGTTTCAAGATGGTGACACCAATTGAATTATCATCTCTGTGCCCGAACACACGATGCCGAACCTCTGCATTACTAACATGGTGTTGCCACTGAATGTCAGCGATCCTTCGGAGACAGCGATGATCGAACACAGAGAGCCGTCTAACGTCCTCAACTCGGAGAGGCTAGGTTTCACAAGCATAGAGCAAAAATGCTCTCGCCGACGCGTTGTAGATCCGACCTTTTACAGCCAGACTAACATCACGAAGGCGCCAAAGATGGCCCAGATTGGCATAAGCCGCTCTGGCTTTCACTATACGTGCATTGATCTCATCACTCACACCCCCACCAGCACTTATGCAGCTACCCAGATACACGAACTTCTCGACTACGTCTATCTGCTCACCATCCAGGGTGAGTACAGGATTAGAATCCTGCCAGTCTTGTAGAAGTACTTTGCATTTCAAAGGTGCAAAACACATACCATACCTACGGACACTAATTGCCAACTGATTAAGTGCGGATTGCATGCCTTGGGCATTATCGCACAGTAAGACAATATTTTCCGCATACTCAGGGTCGAAAAGTCTTTCTCCAGGCAACAGATCCACACCACCATTACTTACATCAATCAGAGCTGTTTACAGAATGTCATCGATGGCAAAGTTGAAGAGGAATGGTGAAATTGGGCAACCCTGACTAACCCCACAGCTCGAATGTAACAATGGAGAGAGGTGGTTATATGCCCTCACTCTGCCTGAAGTGTTTTTATATAGGGCTTTTAGGATGTTAATAAACTTCTCAGGCACACGCTTCTTCAATACACAATCCCAGAGAACAGTCCCGTCCAACGAATCGAAGGCAGCCCTGATGTCAAGAAACACTACGATTGTTGGCCTTCGATAAGTATGGCGATGCTCTAACATTTGGCGGGGGGTGAAGATATGATCAATACATCCTCGACCAGAACGAAAACCAGCCTGCTCCTCGCGAGTCAATCTTTCTCGGGTTTTGAACAACCTACGAAGTATGACGGAAGCCAATAGCTTGGACGCAATCGGAAGTAGACTTATCCACCGATAGTTGTTGCAGGAACGACGTGAACCCTTTTTAAAGATAGGGACAACTATCGACTCATTCCATGACGTTGGTACACTCTCTAGTTCCGAAACCTTTGTAAACAACGTCGTCAATTCCTTAGCCAGAAAGTCACCACCATCTTTAAAAAGAGCAGGAGGTAAGTCATCTGGGCCCGGTTATTTTTAGCGCTTCAAGAGTTGGAGTTCCTTGCGGACTTCCTCCTCGTTTGGTGGATCAGTCGTCACCGGCCGCGGAGGGCAAGACAGTCTGACCGATGTTGCCGGAGCAGCAGGCCAGTTGAACTACCCTTCGAAAAATTCTGCCCATCGTGCAAGACGTCGATGGATGTTAGTGATTGGCATCCCATCATCCTCGCAGATTGTTTCACTCACACCAGACTTCTTGCTGCCAGTGGCTCGAATGAGCTGGAAGAGCTTCCGGTAGTTACCAGATGCAGCTGCTGCTTCCAGCTCATTAGCACCCTCCGACCACCAGGCTTCTCGGTCCTTACGCAAGTTTTGCTCAATTTCCTTACGTAACATCCTTCGTTTATGGTCAAACTCACGGTCACCCGGAGTAGACCGACGGGCTTCAATAAGTTGTAAGGAACCAGAAGAAACCCAGTGCTTATAAGCGGGACGTTTCGCAAACCCACAACTGACTGTTCCCGCTATTTTCATGGCGTCATGCAATTGCAACCAATGGTCATCTATACTTTTCGGTGGAGTGGTAGCTAGCCTAGAGGCTAGCTCGGTTCGATACTTATTTGCAACAGAAGTTGCAACCAGCTTGCTAATATCAATCCTTTGATGTTGGTCACTTCGTTGTCCACTGAAAAGTAAGCCAAGATTGGCGCAGACCAAGGCATGGTCAGAGTCCAGATAGGTACTCCAAAAGGAGCGGCAGTCTTGTACACAAACACGCCAGCGGTAGCTGATCGCGATGTGATCAATCTGAGTCCAGGCTTGGGATGCAGAGGGGGGACGCCAGGTGGCACATCGGCGATGACTGTGCCGAAAGTTAGTGCTAGCCAGAAACAGGTTGTGGTCTGTGCAAAGTTGCAGTAGACGGTCCCCGTTATCTGACCTGCGACCAACGAGTCCCCATCGGCCACCTAAACGACTCTCTTCTGTGCCTGGACGCCCGACCTGAGCATTCAAGTCTCCGGCTAGTATTACAATATCTGTCGAACGCACTTTCTGGAGAAGAACAGATAATAGGCGGTAAAACTCATCCTTGATTGCATCCGGGCTGCAATCTGTCGGGGCATAGGCGGAGATGACGAAAAGACATCGTTTCTCACGCCGATTTCTTCTCACTTTGATGGAACTTTCTAATCTAACAGCACATAACCGGCTGTATACGCGCGGCTGTGTGAGAGTATTTCGAGAGGGAGAGTGGACTCTCCCCACTCTCGGTCGTACCAGGGCGTTCGGGAGCTTGTAGGATTGAGCATCCTAGGATAGCGAAGTCAGTCTACACTTGTGAAGTCATAACTAAGTACCTGAATAATAACATAAAGCGATGTGTACTAAAGAAAAACACCGAATACTCTTGTTAACTAAACATTGATTAGGTTGGTTGATGAGGTAATTTATATAATTGCTTGACGGATGCTTATTAAAATATACCGAATTGACTGAACGGATTATTTATTATTTGTGTTCTAACTAGTAATAATAAGTATTGTATTTAGTTAACAAGGTACTTCATCAACCAACCTAATTAACGTTTAGTTAACAGGGCATTTCGGCGTTTCTCTGGAGTGCACATCACTTTAACCCGCCGTTGCTGCTACCTTGACGTGGTAGCCGAGCTTGCCTATCGTGATAGACCAGTCGGGCTATACTGGCTGGAACGACCGTTCCTCAAGGTCCTACTATGTCAGGTAGGTCGGTTGAAGAACGGTAAGACTAAAAGCAGTAAACTCAAGGTCCGAGTATAAAGTCGTACTGCTGAATGAACAGAATTGTGACAGCAGTAAAGTGTTTCCCTTAGACAACCAGCATGACATCGATGCTGCCTTCCCATAAACGAAGGGTGGGGTTAGAAAAGATCGACACTAAAAATGCAGACCTCGCATTATCCCACGGATATCCGTATCCGTCAGTAAGGTCTCAATAAGTACGAAGTTAACACAAAAAGGTCATGTGACCGACCTCAAGCAGTTGTCCTTTGGGTAGTGTGCTTATGCTCTCAGGTCACAAAAACCAACTCCAACCAAACTTCCTTTTCAAGTACCTCTCAGTCAGTCAATCAGTAACAACGTGGAACTTCGTACGTACGTACACAAGTTCGAGTTGTCATATCACATTAACACAAAGATACAATTGTCAATTCAAATCCCGTAGTTGTAGAGGTAGTAAAAGTATAGGCAGTAATCGGAAACATGAGGGTTCGGAGATGTTATTCAAGGAGTATAATCCAGTGAAATAAATTTTAAAAGAGAAAAAAGGGATATGAAGAATTCAGAAGATTAGGATTTAGGAGAACACAAAGAGTGGATGCACCTGCGCACATCACTGCAAACGATTTTGAGCCATGTCATTCAAGATCTCTAACCATCGGTTGCTATCGTCTCGTCGATCCCAACCAGGTAGTCTACACCTATCAACATGGCTCAGTCCACTTGTCAGTGATTTCACGGATTTGTGCCATGTTTCGATCTGCCTGCCCCTAACTTTGGTCAGTTCGTCTGTAGTCTTCTTCCAACTTACTCCTACACAATGAAACATCGCACATCGGGTCAGTTGGCGGTTGGGCGTACGTAACACGTGTCCCAGCCATCTCAACTGATGAAGTTTCACTACTTCATCAATTGATTAGCCATCCTTACCTAGTACCTGTTTTCTAACAACTGAGTTACTTACTCGGTGGTCACAGGATATACGAGCAATGTTTCGAAGACACCTATGATCGAATACTAGTAATCTACGAATATCCTCTACCCTTACCGGCCATGTTTGACTGCCATAAAGTAGGAAGGAACGAACTGCTGCGCAGTAAACCCGTCCTTTGGTTGGTAGACGGATATCTCACCTATGCCATAAATGACGCAAGTTGGCAAAAGCTAGTCGAGCCTTCTGTATCCGTGCTGAAATTTCGTCACACACCAGACCACAAGGGCTGATGAGACTCCCGAGATAAGTGAAGCGGTCGACACACTCAACTACTTTACTCCCTATCATTAGTTCGGGTGTCGATGCAACCCAATCATGAAGCAATACTTTGCATTTCGAGTGGGAGAATCGCAACCCGAACATGCTTGCATTGTTGTTTAGAGTGGTTAGAAGACTCTGCATTTTGTCAGCGTCTTCACCAAATAGAACTGTCATCGGCATATTCTAAGTCAACAAGTGAATCTCTCGGTAGAAGTTCAACCCCTGGAAATTTAGATGAGGAAAGCATTATCTCTAAAAGCACGTCAACGACAAAGTTAAACAAGAATGGAGAGTGGGCAGCCCTGACGAACACCACTTGAGGCAATCAATTCTGATGAAAGCTAGACATAAGCTCTCCCTCGACCAGTTGTGTTCGAGTAGAGAGCCTTTATAAGGATAATGTACGTCTTTGATACTCCTTTCAGTGACAAACATTGCAACAGAGCCTCACGATCAACAGATTCAAATGCTCCGTCACACACATGGCTGCTCAACTGTTTCTCTAGTTGCTCCTCAAATACACTCTTAACTTGACTATCATTAAGTAGGACTCTAAGGAGTTTCCTTGCATCATCTTTCCTACATCCAGTAAGACGTAGACAAATACGCGCTCGCACTAGAGCATGATCCGAGTCTAAGCATGTGCTCCAGAATGAGCGACAGTCTTCTATCGAGCCCCTCCATCGGTCGCTGATAGCGATGTGATATATTTGGGTCCAACGTTGGGACAAATTCGGGGGTCACCATGTCAAAAGATGTTTTTCCTTATGCTTAAAATTAGTGTTTGCAAAAAACAGGCGGTTATCTGGGCATAGCTGCAACAGATCGTTGCCATTATCTGTTCTTTTAGCCACGACACCATAAGATCCACCCAAGTGTCTTTCCATTTCGCTTAGTTTACCTACTTGAGCATTAAAGTCACCAGTCACTATTACTACATCAGAGCGCCTAGCATTTCGGAGGTCAGAAAGCTTTCTGTAAAACTCATCTTCCACATCATCTGAGCTGCAATCAGTGGGACAGTAGGCAGAGATGACGATGAGTGTCTCTATATTTCAGAGTCCTTACTGTTCCGTTCAGTCGAACAGCGCACAAACGACTGTTTACTAGGATCCAGTCTAAGAGAGCTAGTTCTGCACTAAAACTCAATGCTATACCTACGCCAGCAAGGCCACGGGAAACAGCATCAGGTCTTCCAGATACACGAGGCGTAAATCAAGTTGGTTCATAACTTTGACATGGTGAGGGCAAATGAATGACACTAATCGGATCCTGTATGCGTGTTTCAAAGACGCAGCACACATCGATGGCGCGAGATTCTAAAGTCCTAGCTAAGGAAGCCTGTTGTCCTATTTGGCACAGTGTTCGGACGTTAAATGCTCCTATATTTAGTTTAGAGAGTGGTTTCAGGAGATCAGGAATAACGTTCCGCGTAGTCGAATCGTTTGCCCTAGCGGTGCGAGGTGATAAAGGAACGTGAGAATGGTTAGTCGTAAAGATAAGAGATTTATTAGGAGGTGTAAGAAGGATTTGAATGTGACCAACTAGGTCTCGTATGCTGTTACGGGTATGAGGGCTGATATCACTTCCCGGGTGCCCACACCCTGGAAGGGTATTTCTTGAGGAACCTGAAAAGGAAGTCGGATTAGTGTTGGTCTTAACGACCCGGGAACGTGACCACAGAGTCCCAGGGACAACTGCTTGAGGCCGGTCGCGCACGGCCTTTTTGTGGGGGGTTTTAACGTGTTAGCTCCGTTCTTCAAAGGGCCTTACCGCCGGAGACGGAAATCTGCGAGGTAATGTGAGGCGTGACATTTTAAGGGTCGACCTTTTCCAACCCCTTCCTTTCTTGTGAGTAGGAAGCATCGCTGCAGATGTTGGTTGTCCGAGGGAAACACCTTACTGCTGTCACATCCCTCTACAGTCGGCAGTACGACTTCGCCCTGAGTTGCTGCTTTTAGTCTTACCGTTCTCCAATCGACCTGCCTGGTATGGTAGAACCTACAGGAACATATGTTCCAGCCAATATAGCCTGGTTGGGTCATCACGATAGGCAAACCCGACCACCACGTCAAGGTAGCAGCTACGGTCGGATACCTCTAGAATAACCCTTCTACGGTGTGAGTAACCGGAAGTCGATAAACGCCCTCGTACCTTCAACAGCACTCAAGACCACTATATTCATAACCGATTTTCCTCGTCAGTTCTTATTATTTCTCCTACCTCGACTCTCAACCATAAACTTACTACTTGAGTGTTACCATGGCCAACGACTCGAGTGTGCGAAATACTGTCCCTGTTAACAGTTACCTATGTGTTGTTCGGTTAAAAGGTTCTGTAAGAACTCGGGAGGATAGAGAAACACGTTGTCATTTTTTCGTCATTTCTGCCTACGCTCCCACTGACTGCAACCTGAGTGAAACGAAAGATGAATTTTACAAAAAGCTTTCTGAAATTCTTCAAAAAGCTAAATACTCAGACATAGTACTCGTAACAGGCGACCTTAATTCCCAAGTAGGCAGTTTAAACCAAATAGAAAGACATTTTGGTAGGTATTTTGTTATTCTGACTAAGCGAACAAATAATGATGACTGCTACAACTGTGTTCAGACAATCGTTTATTTTTAACAAGCAATACTTTAAAGCATGAGACATCGCCTAACATGGCGACTCCCTTCACCAAACCAACAATGGACTCAAATAGACTATATTGTCATCGTTCATCAATGGAGAGGCTTGATAGAAGACTGCTGTTCGTTCTGGAATACATGTTTGGACTCTGATCATGCTCTAATACGAGCACGCATTTGCTTGCGCCGCACTGGACGCAAAAAAGACATATTAAAACCCATAAGAGTTAAACTGGGCGACGATAAAGCCAAAGGTATATTTCAGGAACAACTGGAACCACACTTCGACGATTTTGAAAACGAGGCTGACCCAGATGTTGCTTGGAAAGATATACGAACATCTGTGGAAACAGTAGCGACATTTATTATTGATTTGAACCAAATGGTTACGAAAAACCAGTGGGTTTCTATTAAGTCTACTGTACTGATTGATTATCGTAAACGTATCCCATCAGGCTCTGAACAAAACGAAGAGCGAAAACAAGTCAGATCTAGGTTGACCAAAAGTCTATGGAACGACCGTGAGCAGTGGCGAGCCACAAAAGTAAAAGAGATGGAAAAGGCTGTAGCTAACACAAAACAGCTTTTCGGACTAGTAAAAGAAACCGGAATTAAAAAGCCAAGTGTAAGTGAGACAATCATCGAGAAAGACGACACTCTTATCTGCTCTCCGCCTAGACGTTTAGAACCATGGGCGGAACACTTTAAATAGCAGTTCAGCTGGCCTTCAGTTACTCTACAACTACCCACCATTCCCAGTCAGCCTGAATGGAACATTGAAGTAGGTCCCCCGACTCTAATTGAAGTTCAAAAAGCTATAACTAATCTGAAACGAGGGATAGATGGTCCAAATGGGTTAATTCTAGAGTTTTTTAAGGATGGTGGTCAAGTTTCAGCGATTAGGTTGATTAATACTTAAACTAAAATCTGGGGACTGGACGCAATCCCATCTGACTGGTTGCAATCACTGATCGTCCCAATATATAAGGGGTCAAAATCATCCTGTGATAACCATAGAGGAATTAGTTTGACTAAAATGGCATCTAAAATATTAGCCTCAATAATTATCAGACGTCTAACAAAGACTCGTGAACTGCAAACACGAGGAAATAAGGCTGGCTTCAGACCTGGTCGTGGCTGCATTGATCACATATTCACCATTCGTCAGGTTTTAGAACACAGGCATGCTTATCGGCGTCCGACAATGATGGAAGTTAGGGGCGGCCAAACTAAAACGCAGCATCACTCCATAAAGTTACTAACCTCCAGCCTAAGCCATGCTAGTAGATGAAGTCTAATTCGTTGGGGTCCGCGCGACTATCGTAACCATTTGTTGGAGATCCTGAATGAAATGGTTCAGAATCGACTAGAATGGCGTAAGTGTATGCATTCTTTGTCTTCTCTTGAATCGTGAGATTAAAATAATTTTCTACGAAATAATTCTTTCTCCCTGTATATCTTTGTATGAGATCTTTGTTTTTATGTATTACTACCATTGAGGTAACTGCTCCTATAGATTTGGTGTTCATGTTGTTGTGATAATGAGTTACGAAAACTTGGACCGATGTATATATGTGCCTGACCCTACGTCGTAGATGATTGACTGATGTTCTAACTAGAATGGTCGATATCTTCTTACAAAAATCTCTATGCATAAGACATAAAAAACGTTTTTGTTCAATGTAAGATATTCTTTACTGATAGTATGGAGTAAAGACACTAGTAAGCAGCGCATATTACTTAGATGTAATTTGAGTAGCCCTTTTGCTGTACTCATATCTGAAGTGAGTTAACTAACCATCATTTTTATTAAGAACAAGCCGTTCAGCTTATGAGAAATCTCACATACACAATCCATGTATACTATGAAGTCTACTTTAAACGTGAATATCAACATCAAAATTTATTTTTGCAATGATATGACGACAAATAATGTGATGTCTGACTTGAGAAAGGCCTCTTAAAAAATATTTTTATCCCCAAGACTCGCAAAGGAACATTAAACGAAACCAAATTACTACTCATTGTTCCACGTGATATCTTACGTATAGCTTCCTATGTACATCGTCTACAGTATCTCAATATTTCATACAAATATCTCGAACAGTGGCACATATAATCGGTACTTTTTGATCTTTCAGTAACCTAATGTAAATAAACAAGATAACTTACGATATATTTAGTGACATAATTAGAACGAATTAGAATGAGTCAAAGTCCTTCATTCTGTTGCCTAAATAATGGAAAAGATCCTGGCAAGATAACCTGTGAGAGCGAAGGTCTTGGTAAAGCCTAATGTACTGATGAAAGAATAAGTAAAAAATGAACACTTACATTTTGGAAATGTTGTTCTGCCAATTGAAGACTTTTTGGATGGTCATGATGTAACAGACTGACGAATGTATTAAAGTAGTTTTCAAATTTTTCTTTAACTTCTCGATATTTATTATGTATATCAGAGGTTGGCATTACGTGCCTTTATAATTCTATCAAGTCAAAAAAAAGTTTCCGAAATTGACACCTTAGTCAAGTTAAGAGCGAATCAACAAAAAAATGTAACTGAATGAATGCTTAAGAATACACAATTTCAACAAGAAATCGGGATTGTATTACCCAAGTTCACTAACTACTTTGTTCTAAACGCTTACCAATAAAATCAAAGTGTAGGATGTTTTCGGTGTCTTATGGAACTGTCCTAAAATAGGTTGAAAAATATACAAATTGAACGAGATATTCCATGTGAACCGTGCTCTGTATGTCACTTCTCAACAGGTATTTTCAGTTCTTAATGACCAGTCAATACTTAGCCAAACTGATGTCCGAAAAGGGGCCCCGAGTGGAAAATACCACTCCATTTTGTCTACTTACTTCCAATTCACTTTAGAGAAGATACTCTGATTTGGTAACGGAATGTATTATTTGTAAACATCTTACACGTTCTTTACTGCACAAAATTAAGGTCTAGACTCTAGTGCAAACTATCGATGAACACAACTAAGGGGGATTTATAGATGGATCTACGTTTGATAATCATCTGTCTCTGTAAGTGCAAGGTCGTATAAATATGTTAGCTGAGGTCCAGCATAGTTCAAAAGACCAGAGCGATATATAACAAACCAGGAAATCCTGAGTATTAGTAAAGTACTACTCTAGCTCCGAAAAAAAATTTCAAATGAACGTTTAGGATCATTCTATGCTTGTAAACCCCAGTATCCGTTTGCTATTGCTATTTCTGAGTTACTATCATTTGGCGACAAAAACACCCATTGAGTTTTGGGATCTAAAGACACATTTTTGTATAATGCAAAATTCTGTTTGGATGACTCGAGGACATATAACATTTCCTGCCTAAAGAGACTTAGGAAAAACTACTTTTCCAACTCTAGGACTACAAGCAAGCGGCAGTGATGCTACGAGTTTAGGGTGGTTATGTAGGATGAAGATATTTCTACATTAACTCTCTTCTGATTGGCTAATAGTTGCAAGGTCACTTAAAAATTCGTTCAAAGGTCGTCCATAAAATATAGTCCTACCGACAGTTGTTTTGGATCACGAGATATAGGTTTCGACGTCACCAGCAATTCTAAGCCCAATATTTTAAGGTTTTTCAACTGGTGAAAGCGTATTTGAGTACTTCTAGGTGGTTTACTGTGATTTTCTAAATTGTTGGGTTTTCAATCTCCCTATTCTGAGTTGATTTTAGAGGTCTCTCTGAAGTGTTTTCGGGCAAATATTGGGGGAAACCCTAAATTTCTCCAAAAGTTCGGGGATTTTCCCCAGACCTGGAGAAACGTTTGGGTTTTTTGTCACTTTTCCAGCATTTTCTATTGCGGCTTCCCTAAAATTCATCGAAAACGGGTAAAATTTACCCCAAAATAGGGAGCATGGGTTAATAACAAGCTAACTAAGGGTATGAGGAATATTGCTCAGACCTCGTAGAATATTGTGAGCTGGCTACACAAAAATGTTTACATATGGAATTTATTTGCAAAATATACTATCCTCAGGTATAACACAGGTAGCGAAAATGTCATAATAAATAGACTAAACAGAACACTTAAAAGTACATTAAGATCGAGTGTAAAAGCGTCCAAGGAAAGCTAACTAGCTTAAAAATCTCCAAGTTTTGATTGGCCGTTTCTGTCATTTTAGAGTATACAAATCACTATTGACTTTGTCATACATCGGCACTTGTGAAGCCATTAGCTGTAAGTTGGCTATAGGATGTAGTACATTTAAGCTAGGTGTCATCTATCGGAGCCCAGTCTGCTTAGCTGATTACTTTGTTTTAGAGCACATTCATCTTTGGAGTGAAAATACCAGATGCTTGATAATAAGAGACTTTAACGCACCTGATATTAGTTGGACTGATATGACCACAGAAGGATCTATAAACTCTTTTGATAGTAGGTTCCTGATAACAATAATGGAGCATGCACTAGTGCAGCATGTATCCAAACCCACATGTTTTGGTGTTAACCAGGGTTCTTCTCTGCTGGATTTGGTAATCACTCATGAGACTGAAGATATTGTCGACTTAAATATTCTCCCACCGTTGGTGAACAGCGATCACGCTGTTTTGTCATTCGCGTTTCGAACTAGGGACATATTATACGATCAGGTTACACCTCGCCCAAATGTATGGAAAGCAAACATATCAGCCATTCAGGAATGCGCTGTTAAGACAAATTGGTTAGTAGATACTAGCATATCAGTTGAAGAAGCATGGTCTGTATTTAAAGGTAAATTTAGACTAGTTACGTCCCCGTCCATACCATATATGGTACCGCGAAGACCGAATAATAGTCCACCATGGATAACTAAAACGGTCAGGAAACTCCTTAGAAAAAGGAAGAATCACTGGAATATGTTCATCTCTACTGGCTTAGAACAATAAAGATCCAGTTATTGTATGATTAGGAATGCCTGTAAAGCGTTAATCAGAAAAACTAGATTAGCATACGAAAAACAATTGGTTAGGGGTTCTAGATATAGTCCGAAACGGTTATTCTCGTATATAAAAAGAAGAACTAAGAGAAGCGATGGAATTCCATCACTTTTGATACGAGATTATCCGTTAATCTTAGCAGAGAATGATGCCGAAAAAGCTGAAGCTTTGTCGGAATATTTTAGTAAAGTGTTTTCTATCGGTAATGAGGAACGACCAATTATTCATCGCGACCGTGACGGCTCGCTGATGGATCCTGTAGTCATTAAGAAGGATACTGTTTTAAGGCTACTTCAGCATCTCAAACCTGATAAGTCCAGTGGTCCTGATGATACTCATCCCAGGATTATGAAAGCCATATCAGATGAAATTGCTGAACCATTAGCGATACTATTCGACATGTCTCTGAGACAGTCCAGACTTCCTAGAGACTGGAAAGACGCCATAATAAGTCCGGTGTATAAGGCTGGGGGTAGGGATTTAGTTAGTAACTATAGACCCGTTAGCTTAACTAGCACAGTTGTAAAACTGATGGAGAAAATCATTCGGATAGCTGTCACAAACTATGCTGAAGGGCAAAATCTTTTCTCCAGGGCACAATATGGTTTTCGAAAAGGCCTATCTTGCTTGACAAATCTCATTGCACGAGAAGATTGGGCTGCGGAAAAGGATCGGAATGTTCCCGTGGATGTGATTTTCATAGATCTAAGTAAAGCCTTTGATAAGGTTTCCCACTCTGGTTTTAAATTCAAACTGAAACGTTTTGGAATCCATTATACAGTCGTCGATTGGATAAGTAACTTTCTCCATGACAGGACACAAAGGGTAAGGGTTAATGGGGCTCTCTCCTCGTGGGTACCTATAAAAAGTGGGGTTTCCCAAGGTACAATCCTGGGTTTTCTTCTCTTGTTACTTTATATAAATGAATTGCCAACTGTAGCAAAATCATCCGTTCTACTCTTCGCTGATGACATAAAGATTTGGAGACCCATACATAGTATGTCGGATAGAATAGTATTACAGGACGATCTTAGCTCATTAGTGGCATGGTTAGATAGGTGGTCACTAGAAGTAAATCCTAATAAGTGTAGTGATGCAGTTAAATAACTTTGATGAATCGTATGACTATACACTACGTGGATTCATGCTACCCAAATTAAGAAACTATAAAGATTTAGGAGTCATATTAAGCAATGATCTCAAAACTAGTCACTGCAAGGCTGCCGCTGCGAAAGGGTATAGGGTATTATGGTCAATTCGTAGGTATTTCCAGTATTTAGATGATGAAATATTTAGACTACTATACCCGATTTATGTGCGACCACATTTAGAATACGGGATTCAAGCAGCGTGTCCTTGTTTCAAATATGAAGCAGATATGCTAGAAAGAGTCCAACGACGAGCTACTAACATGGTACAAGGTCTATCTGGCCTATCTTATGAAGACAGACTGAGACACCTTAACTTATTTCCGTTATCTTACCGTAGAATACAGGGTGATCTAATATTGGCCTATAGTATACTGAACGATGACCTTGGTATTAACATATCCTACCTTTTGTTTCCGTCTAGAACCGATCATTTGAGAGAACATTCGAAGAAAGTTCAAAAACCGAGATCAAACCGTTTACGTCTGTAGTTCCGTTTCTCGCACCGAGTAGTGAATTACTGGAATTCTCTACCAGAGCACGTAATATCAGCACCGTCTGTTAATATATTTATAACGAGATTGGACCTCCACAGTATTACAAACTGCAAGGATTAATATAGGTCGACAGACCTGCTATTCTAATTACTGAAGTTGGCTGGAATCGCCGCTGAAGTAAATACCCCGATAATGTGAGTAAATCCTTGACACAATAAGCCTTTAACCAGCTGCATATGGACAATTAGAGGTATTGATCCAAGCAATTGGTCAATAATTTCGAATCGAAAATGGTTCCTACCTTACCGTGTCACTGTTACGACACATTCGAATCCGTTCATCAACTACTTGATGCTTCAAAGTGTTGTCTGATGTAATGATTTCTTCACATATAGCGAGGCCGAAAAAGCAAGAAAACGCTATCTATTTAAAAATTTGCAATAGCATCATTAGATATAAAGATGCCACATATATTCAGGTGTGAAGATAGTCCTGACAACCTTATTTTGTAAATCGTTTTCAATGATATTTGTATTTATTTTGTCAACCTTCCACTGTATGTATATTTAACATTAAATGACTGTAACTGTTGTTTTAGTAAATGACCTTGAACACACTTTCCGTTGTGCTACTACATAGCGTGACATACCGTTGCTGGGTAACAAATACACTGCTTCTCACACATTCCTCGTTCTATTTTCATTTGTGATTGAGTTACCGGAAGTCTAAATCAAATAATATCTACATTTATAGACTGTAATCGGAATATATCACATCCTACGTTGGACTATACCACTAGAGAGTTCGCCAACCTGCTCAGAGTCATCAAGCATTTATAATTGTGGATTTACATTACTGGACCTAATCAGAACACGCAACGTTTGATAAATTTAAGTAACGTCCCTAATTTTTATTGTGTTTGTAACAATTAATTGTATATATTAATATTACTATTGATTTTTAATAACTTTGTTTATATTTTTTTGTGTTCATATTTGTTTGGTCCACCACAATTATTTGGTGAGCCTTCAATTCATTATAGACGTTTACTGTTTATATATTTATTCATTTTTTTATTACTTGGCACGCTAGTCCATTTTTTTTGTTTTCCCACTATGAACTCTCCTAGTAAACTCATTGATATAGATAGCCCATCTACCAACACCCTAAACTCTTCGCAACCAGAATATAATGCTTTAAGCTCGATCAACGCTATTTCAGAGTTCAAATTACCAACGTACGGTGTTAGTAATCCCAGGATCTGGTTTGCACAGGTTGAGGCATTATTTTCGTCGAGAGGTGTACGCTCGCAAGCGACAAAATATGCATACGTCGTTGGAGCATTACCCATAGAAGTGGCAGCAGAAGTTGGAGACCTGATAGATAACGTACCAGAAACAGACCCCTATGACAAAATAAAAGCCGCAGTAATCCACCGTACTTCGCAGTCTGACGAAAAACGCTTACAGCAACTGCTCACCGCATGCGAGTTAGGGGACAAAAGACCTTCACAGTTGCTTAGACATATGAGACAACTAGCAGGCTCATACAAGTTAGACGAAGCATTACTTAAGCAGATATGGTTACAAAGGTTACCACATAACGTCAGACAAATCCTCAGCATATCAGGAGCCTCTGTCAGTCTTGATGATTCAGCAGACATGGCCGATAAGATGATAGAAATATATCCCAATAGTCGCGGCGTTAACGCGATACAACCCTCAAGTAGGGAAAACATGAGCGACGCACTCAACATCCAACAACAAATAACACAGTTAACACAGCAGATAGCACCACTGCAGGCGACTGTTTCCACCATCCATTCTCGACCTGCCAGATCTACGTCCAGAAGGAGATCAGTATCCAGACATCGTGTTAGGTCACCTAAACGGGCAGCTGGAATTTGTTGGTATCATTCGAATTATGGTGAGAAAGCACGCCGTTGCACCAAACCGTGCAACTTTAAGACAAACAACCCAAACTATCAGGGAAACAAAGTGGTCAGACAATAATGGCGGCAGCTGTTACTGGTCAACATGTTAGCTGCCTCTTTCACGTCAAGGATCGCATTTGTGGCTCGGACATTTTAGTCGATACTGGAGCAGAAATCAGCATCATTCCACTCCATCTCTCCCGCAGACAACAGATAACAAGCACTAAACTGTCCCTAATAGCGGCTAACGAATCAGTTGTCAAAACCTACGGAGAGTAATCTCTTATATTAGACCTTGGGCTCCGCAGAAGATTCACATGGGTATTCATAATTGCTCAAGTCAAACAACCCATCCTCGGGGCCGATTTCCTTAGTGCGTACAACCTGTTAGTAGATATGACCAACAAGAGACTAATCGATGTGAACACACGTTTACAGGTAAATGGTACACTCTCCAACGACAACGAAATCCATGGTGTTCGAATAATGAAACCTGTAAAGAACATTTTCAACGACATTCTAACAGAATACCAGTGTATTACGAAATCAGATTACCAAAAAAAGGTAACCCACAGCTGGTGAAACACCATATCACTACCACCGGACTACCCATTCGCACCAAAGCGAGGAGATTACTACCAACAAATTTGCAGACAGCCAAAAGAGAATTTGAACACATGATGCAACTTGGTATCATCAGACCATCTAATAGTCCTTGGGCCTCGCCGTTACACATGGTACCAAAGAAAGACCAGGTTTGGCGTCCGTGTGGCGACGACCGCCGTCTGAATAATCAAACCATCCCGGATAGGTATCCTATCCCACATATACATGACTTCTCGTTAAACTTAGATGGTAAATGTATTTTATCGAAACTCGACCTCGTGCGTGCATACCATAAAATTCCGATGGCTCCAAAGATCAATTCAGATATAAAACGATGGACACGATGCTGCCTACAATGTCAACGCAGCAAGATTCGGAAGCACACGATCAGTCCCGTTGGCAAGTATCCCCTGCCAGAAAAATGTTTTCAACATATCCATCTAGACATAGTTGGTCCCCTACCACCATCTAATTCATTAACATACATTCTCACTGCAGTGGACAGATTCACAAGATGGGCTATACCATGCCCTATTACTGACACTTCCGCAGAAACGCTAGCCGGCGTATTCCTTGACCGTTGGATAGCAAATTACGGAGTACCTTCTATCGTCACTACCGACCGTGGTCCCCAGTTTCAGTCTATCTTATTTCAGGAATTCACAAGACTTCTGGGCGTGAACCACATCAAAACAACAGCCTATCACCCAGCAGCTAATGGTTTGGTCGAAAGATTTCACCGCCAATTAAAAAGCTCGCTGATGGCACAAAATGATACAACAAAATGGAGTGACGCATTACCACTTGTACTTCTGGGAATACGTTCAACCATAAAAGGAAGATATAGGTTGTACGGCCGCCGAGCTAGTTTATGGTACAACCCTTACATTACCAGGTCAACTAGTAGATCCAAACACTTTAACACCAACGGATCCAAGTCATTTTGATAGCCAACTGCTGCAAACCATGCAAGGAATCAAAGATATACCACCTCGTGAACATAACAATCGAATACAACTCGACAAAAACCTAGAAACATGCAGGTTTGTCTTCGTTCGAGTTGATGCGGTTAAAAAGCCATTGAAACAACCTTATGAAGGACCATATCAAGTAATTAAAAGAACGACCAAACACTTAATAATCAACAAGTGTGGAAAGAAAGAGACTATCACTATCGATAGTATAAAGCCTGATTTTTACGAAGCACAGCATTACAAAGAACATACTACTTCACTGAACCAACCCCGTCCAGCAACCACCACTACAGCAGACATGGAAGAAAAATCGAGTAACAACCATACTTGTTTAACGCGTTCAGGCAGAGCTGTGAAAAACCCAAACGCTTTGTACATTTCGCCGAATAAAAAAGAAATCGAAACAAGCAATGTTATTTGTATTTATTTTGTCAACCTTCCACTGTATGTATATTTAACATTAAATGACTGTAACTGTTGTTTTAGTAAATGACCTTGAACACACTTTCCGTTGTGCTACTACATAGCGTGACATACCGTTGCTGGGTAACAAATACACTGCTTCTCACACATTCCTCGTTCTATTTTCATTTGTGATTGAGTTACCGGAAGTCTAAATCAAATAATATCTACATTTATAGACTGTAATCGGAATATATCACATCCTACGTTGGACTATACCACTAGAGAGTTCGCCAACCTGCTCAGAGTCATCAAGCATTTATAATTGTGGATTTACATTACTGGACCTAATCAGAACACGCAACGTTTGATAAATTTAAGTAACGTCCCTAATTTTTATTGTGTTTGTAACAATTAATTGTATATATTAATATTACTATTGATTTTTAATAACTTTGTTTATATTTTTTTGTGTTCATATTTGTTTGGTCCACCACAATTATTTGGTGAGCCTTCAATTCATTATAGACGTTTACTGTTTATATATTTATTCATTTTTTTATTACTTGGCACGCTAGTCCATTTTTTTTTGTTTTCCCACTATGAACTCTCCTAGTAAACTCATTGATATAGATAGCCCATCTACCAACACCCTAAACTCTTCGCAACCAGAATATAATGCTTTAAGCTCGATCAACGCTATTTCAGAGTTCAAATTACCAACGTACGGTGTTAGTAATCCCAGGATCTGGTTTGCACAGGTTGAGGCATTATTTTCGTCGAGAGGTGTACGCTCGCAAGCGACAAAATATGCATACGTCGTTGGAGCATTACCCATAGAAGTGGCAGCAGAAGTTGGAGACCTGATAGATAACGTACCAGAAACAGACCCCTATGACAAAATAAAAGCCGCAGTAATCCACCGTACTTCGCAGTCTGACGAAAAACGCTTACAGCAACTGCTCACCGCATGCGAGTTAGGGGACAAAAGACCTTCACAGTTGCTTAGACATATGAGACAACTAGCAGGCTCATACAAGTTAGACGAAGCATTACTTAAGCAGATATGGTTACAAAGGTTACCACATAACGTCAGACAAATCCTCAGCATATCAGGAGCCTCTGTCAGTCTTGATGATTCAGCAGACATGGCCGATAAGATGATAGAAATATATCCCAATAGTCGCGGCGTTAACGCGATACAACCCTCAAGTAGGGAAAACATGAGCGACGCACTCAACATCCAACAACAAATAACACAGTTAACACAGCAGATAGCACCACTGCAGGCGACTGTTTCCACCATCCATTCTCGACCTGCCAGATCTACGTCCAGAAGGAGATCAGTATCCAGACATCGTGTTAGGTCACCTAAACGGGCAGCTGGAATTTGTTGGTATCATTCGAATTATGGTGAGAAAGCACGCCGTTGCACCAAACCGTGCAACTTTAAGACAAACAACCCAAACTATCAGGGAAACAAAGTGGTCAGACAATAATGGCGGCAGCTGTTACTGGTCAACATGTTAGCTGCCTCTTTCACGTCAAGGATCGCATTTGTGGCTCGGACATTTTAGTCGATACTGGAGCAGAAATCAGCATCATTCCACTCCATCTCTCCCGCAGACAACAGATAACAAGCACTAAACTGTCCCTAATAGCGGCTAACGAA